GTAGCTTAAAATAATTGAAATCACAATCTTGTTCTATAACCGAAAATGGATTAAAACAAAATAACATCTCATTTTGTTGCAGTCGATGCTTTGAGAAACTATATTAATTATCACTGTTGTCAGTTATATCTTTAAACTGATATAATTTGTTAGTAATACACGATAAAACTCCATTAATATTCAATTTCAATTTTCCAATAAAGCACTTCGGTTTTCAGTGATATGAAATTCGATATGTTCAACTACTTTCATATATTTGTTATTTAACGTAATGAAATAGTAAGAACTACAGCACAATGTTAATGAAGATATAATCATCACTTATTGACTGAACAAAGTACCGTTGTGTCATGATTTCAGATTTGGCAATTACAGAAGCTAAGAAGTTTAGGATCTGCATGTTCTTTAAGCATAATATAAAATGATAAATACCTGCTAATAGCGCGCAAAGTAATTACAAGGATTGAAAATAAGCAATGTACACTGTGTCATTATGTCTAAGCATGTTGTAATGAAAAAGTCTAATTTTCGAGTTAGAAATTTTGGATTATTGCATTGTGCAGCTAAATAAATTTTAAATCCACAAAGGGTTCAGATGAAGTTTTTAAATATCGAATAAGTATACTTATGGAATTATCTCTTTTATACTTTGCGCACAAAGCTTTAAGATACATAGAGAACTTCGCCATGATGTATAGAACAGGCATATTGATTTCTTCTCAAAACGCATGTCAATCACTGATTTCATTTTTGCAAGTGGAAGGGAAAGATTCATTTGTGTGTCGCCATGAAATTAAATCGATGCAAAAAACATAAGGTTCAGGAAGAGATGACATCGTTCGACAATACGTGATAAATCTAAGTTAATGGAGATATTCAGGCTAAAACAATATCAGAAGAATCAAAGAGAATTAAGAGACATATATCTGAAGACTACAAGAAAGGTTAACAAGTTTTCAATAAAAAAAAAACTTACCAGGAAGTTAAATGTTTTTTTCTTTTTTTTTTCAAATATAAAATCTGCCCTGGAAAAAAATTAAAACTGGTCTTAATGAATAATACAGCAAGACTAATTGCAACAGAGCTGTTGTATAAAACATACCAATTCAAATCGTTTTTAAGCTTTCAAGAAAATGCAGAACTCTGGAAGGAATCAAAGTTTTTTTTAATAATAATATAAGGTAGAAAGAGAGATAACAGGTAGAAATGAGTTATGAAAGGTTGAGCATGTACATATCAGTGATGAATGACTTGTTGACAATTGGCAACACATGGTTCACAGCATGCCTATGAGTAGCTAATTGCCCATGTTCGCTCCATTTAGTGGTAAATTCTTTCTTTTTCTCAACTACAGCTCCAAATTGAATGCCATCGATGCTGTTTCAATATATACATCGGTACTAATCACAACTGCAAGTGCATACAGATGTACAAATGAGAATCAAAGCGTAGGTATTATTGAAAGAGATACATACCTGATAATAACAACATTATTTGTCTGGAAGACTCTGAAGTACGCCTCTATTCAATCGGAGCTATAAGCTGATTAAAAATGAAAAAAATGTGAAGAAGGCCCGTTCTCCACACTTCGTTACTTAACTGTATTGCTGACAGATTACTTTATTATGCTTAACCTATTGACCATTACTATTAAAATCATTCTTCATCTAATTCATTCAATAGGAGATGAACTGGATTTCACTACTAACTTTAGACGTGACTGCATCCACATTTCCTAAGTCCCGGAACAACTTGGAAAATAAAGTGTCCTCTATGCTTCTTCTCCATCAGTGACTTTGTAAGAAGGGCGTTTATCAGTACGGATTAGGAAAGAGATAATACTACGATAAGAATACTGTGCAACATAATGTTAAATGTATAAAATATAATTTGAAGATCGAAAAGAATATTCTTTTAATAGCTAAACTTTTTGATAAACTGAGACTGGAATGAGCCAAATGCTCTTGCCGTCAGTTTCTTGAATTGTAATTTATTGTATTCCGAATATTTTTTAATTGATTTGTTTATTCTCTAAAATTTTCAAATCTGTTTTCGCCAAATTTCTCCTTTTACAACATTTACGGGGAACAAAGACAGAATTAAAATACCTTTAAAATTCTCTTACTTTCTTTCTCTCTCCCTTTTATAAACATCAAAAGCCAAAAGGAAGTGAAAGTTTTAGCCGAATTTCTCAGCTTTGTTTGCTTCCTAATTCGTTAATATGACAGGATTGTGCTATTAGTTAGCGTAATAGTTCAAAATGTAGTACGTCAAATAACAAACTGATGTCGCTAACAGATAATAGTTGATCATAATAACGCAAGTATAACATCGGGAAAAAGAAGGAAAAGGTCAATCGTGAAGATGAAGGACCGGAAAGGGAGTGAAGTGATTTTCTACGGGAAGTGAGGATGAATGCACGAAAAGGATACATGTATAAGACAAACAATGAAGACTCTAAAGACCACAGAATGCTGGGTGTAATACAAAATTTGAGTTGAAAAGATGAAATCGCACAACCTGCGACCCATTGTAGTTATAAAGGCATATTTTTAATACATAAACAACGGGTAATAAGAAAGAACAATAAATTGAAGACAAAGGGAGATCGCAGGTTACTTTCGTCAGTAACTACTATTTCCTGTATGACATATGACACGTCTGGCTAAATACAAAATAAGGCATTAAGATAGTGTCTCTCATCTCTTTTCTACTTTTCTACCATCGTTTCCATTATTTTTGTTTTTTGTAATTTGTATCTAATGCTATACAGAAGATGCATATTATAGACATGGGTCAAAGACTCGCGGAAAACATACAGGAAGCGAAAAAAATACAGGATCTGAAACAAGAGGCAATCCCGAGAAAACCAAGCGCTATTTTCTCCTCTCCAATAGCAATCGTCGAACTATCCATCTCTTCCTACGCGATCTTTCAGAGCAAAATGCTACTGCAGTATAAATTAGAGGTATAAAATGCGTATTATTTATGCATGAAGTTGTAATCGTCTCGTTTCTCCATATATGTCCCGTGACTTGCTGCATTTTCCATCAGCAGCTGTATTGTTAACGAGGCAAGGCCACACACTTTCAAAGCAGTATTATCGCAACCAATATCGTTTGTTCTTTATTATAGAAAAAATTTTGAAATTTCGAATGTCTAATCCCATTGAATCAATGACTCCAATGATCTCTGTAAGTCTTATCGCATCACTTCATCTAAAATTTAAGCAGTAAACTCAGGTGTTAAAATGTCACTTCCGGCTTAATAATGCTCAATCGATACCAAATTCTTTTATTTAAAACCTTTAAAAGATCATCGTGAAACTTGGGGTTGATTGATACTTGTAGCTTAGAGCCAAATTAGATTTTCTTCTTATGCTCAAGAGCCTTTGTTTCTTGCTGTAATTGATATAGACGAATGCGTTGAATGAAAAGCCTATTGTAATGCTTTTGCAGCCACGATGCACAAGTATTAATCTATAGCAACAATACGGTGATAATTCCTAGAGTATCTACAAATGAACTGAAGAAAATGAATGAATTGATGGGGAACTTAAGGGATTTAAATGAACTGAATTAAATGAGCGCGGGAGAGCAGTCGAACTATAACGTGCTGGTACAAAAAAACTGATCTAGACAAGTTAATTCCATGTGCAGTGTACATTTCTAATGTTCAATTAAGACAAATTTTAGTATTATGGATTAATACAATTTATTTGATATATAAGTTATTTGGAGGTTCGCGAGATTATTTCAAGTTTTGACAAAGATATTATTCTATATATATTATTATATTTTTGTTAAATCTATTACTGTATAGCAAGTACATGTTGAAATGCACGTCATAGTGACATATCAAATAATCTGCAATTGCACTGAGTAAGCGATTATTACTGCTTCAGTCTATACTCCAATACTTCAAAACTCTATTAGAAACATATCTCACTCCCTGATTACTAAAACCAGACCAGCCAAGGTCAGAAAATCAAAGAACTGTATGCAAGCTTTGCAGTAAAACTATGACATGCTACTACTCCACTCAGTCTCTCCTAGTTCTAAACAATCTCTTTGTTAATTTGTTCCCAGAACTAATGCAAACGAGAAGTAAACAATTCTTTATTCCTCATTTACGGTGTTCAATTATTATATTAAAAAGGACCGAAACAGCAAAGAGCGAGTTAAAATTAGTAAAACCAATATCAAAAGCAATTTATATGCAGAAATTTAAAACGTTAGATGCTAGAATAAGTAATACGACACAATTAATATAAACCATAACTGGAAGCGTGTCATCATCAGTTTGTTCTCTTCCTCACACATTTTCCAATGTCCAAAATTACTTCGAACCTTAAGAATATTAGCAGTTTTGAAAAAGGCCCAGATTTCATATATACAGGAATAGACAACTCACCAAAATAGTCTAGCCTCCACAGGTTAACCTAAGTTAATAAACTAATTATATAGAAGTTTCAGGTAGTTGGCAAGGTGCCACGTGGCATCAGGAACAGTACTCCGAGAGTATTAACATGTATGATGTGACCTTTACATAGTTAACACTGAAAACAACCCGGATATGATCATGGAAGAGGTTTTTTTAAGAACAATGTATACAGGTTGGAACTTAATCTTTCATCCCGCTAATGATGTCAAAAATATTTCAAGGGAGATATAACTTTATACTCAGGAAGTTAGGAATCTTTTTGCATATATTCAATGATAAGTGAAAAAGTTAATAAAAAAACCGACGAAACAAAAATGTAATCTGCATAAATCCAATCCAATTAGTTTTCAACTATTATATGAATTTAAAATGATTAAATGAAATAATGATTTTTTCATCAAAATAAATAAATAAATAAATATATATATATATATATATATATATGTAATACCGCAACATCAAATCTGAAGGAGAGGAAAGCACTACAGAACAAAACATCTCAGTCATAAAATAAACCAAAATCACAACTTTTCCATTGCAGGCGCTTCAATCAGTTTCTATTTTATTTTTTTATTACGCTGCTGAATTAATTGCAGATTAATTTTCGTCCACGTCCACTTTTGACTCCGCCGTTCCGAATCACAAGGATTCATGAAAATTTCTCCTTGTTCCACATCACAATCCATACACAAATCACTAATAGGATGATACATCTGTTGCTTATCAGGCAGATATTTAAAATGCTGATTACCTTGCATGCCATGGCTGAGATGAAGATTTAATTGGAAAAATTAGAAAAATCTGCGTTTCTTACTATATCCCGTTTCAACTCAACCTACACTTTTTCTTTCCTTTTTTTTTCTCTAAGAAACAAAGAACTAAAACGTTAAAAAGAAACCCTTCACAATTTAATTTATTGTTTCGAGAATATTCCAGAAGGGTCTAAAAGCAAAAATTGATTTTTGGATTTGTGGAGTTGAAAACTTAAAAGAAATTCATTTTAAAAACTACCAAGAAAATAAAACGATAGGCGCCTTATTCACAGAAACTGAAACATCGAAACACATTGTTCGTGTCTGCAGTCGTACATCGTGCCAAAATGTAAGTCGGAGATTCTTGAAAATTTAACAAATCTCTAATGCTTTGAAATAAGTTAAAAAAGAAATGAATAAAATTTTGTAGCAAAAGAAGCATTACTTACTTGTTCCCCATGATTCGTTGGGTCGTCACTAACACATTTACGTAAACCAAACTTCTTTTCGGCATTTTTGAAATCCGTATCCACACATTTATTTGCTGCTACATTGCGCAGCTCACCTGTATAATTAGTTGCATAAGTACTTCAAAAATTTTAGATCTAAGAAATGATTGATCAAACATCAAAAGCGAAAAATATAAATGTTACTTAACCTTCAGCACTATCTTCGGGCTCTATTGCGGGATAAAACTTTTCCTGATCGAAAGCAATCTTTTTCATAAACCAATCAAATGATTTACATTTAAGCCTTCTTCTAATTGCTTTCTGCTCACTGAGGTCCCCTAAAAACATTTTTTTTTTTTGCTGCAATTACTGATCAGTTATTGATTTTACTTTAATTTTCAATTGATTTCTGCCTGTAAATAAGTCCCTCGGCTTCAGAACCATTATACTTCACCACAAAAATCATACCAAAATCAACAGTAAGCAATGGTGGTCGACGCTTGTATAAAAACTTTGCATATTCATCCATCCATACTTCAGCAACTCTGAAGGCTCCTTTTCAGTTGATCAGGAAATTCAAAATTCCATGGTTCACTACCGTTATCTTTCTGGTATAAAGAATTGAAATATACCTTCTGTAATTTCTGGAAATGAAATCTCCAATACCTGGATTTGAAAAAGGAATATATTTACAACGATAAATGTGTCCAACTCGTGAACAAGGAGCATCAACCATTGTACCATGACACTGCCACACCTAACAATATCTATTGAACAAGTTAAGCAAAAATTTTGAAGAAATGATCTAACAGATTTTTAATATTCCAGTTCTTTTCGAATTACTTGAATTCTCAACATTCAGATTTCTCAGTGTTAGAATGAAGATATCATTATGAAGACAACGTAATATCCAGTTCTTTGACTGATGGTGACATGAACAGAATGAATTTAATAGTATATGCGACAAATGGAAATCCTGAAAGAAAGTTCAAGCTTATTTCTAAAAAAGATTACGACCAACCTTGAAAGATAGTTCATACTGTTCACCACCCCATATTTCAAGGCCCTCATCATAACCTCCCAACTCCCAAAACCATTTCCTACTGATTGCAAAATATCCACCAGCCATAACTGGACTATGGAAGGGACGCGTTGGATTTTTCTTATTATCTTCTGTTAAAGGCAAGCGTTTGTAATTGAATTCCCAATCAAAAGAACCTGAAACTTAGAAGTTTATATCAGTTTTCTTCCAATCTTTTTTTAAAAAATCACGAAGAAAAGAAAAATCTCAAACCTCTACCGCCTTCATCTTGGGCACGGTACTCATAAGTATTACAGTCAATAACATCGATAAAAGGACAAACTACCATCCTAAAAGGAACACATTATATGTTTTTAAAGTGAGGCAAAATTTTTTAAGAATGTGAGGAACAAGGTTTTTTAACGAAGCTTCAATTCTGCAGAATTCATAATATCAAGCTTCGTTGAAAAGTTAAATATTAAATTTGCAATCGAAACAATTATAAAATTTACTTATAATCAAGTGCAATTGGTTCAACGAGTGGTGGCAACCAATTATAATTTACTTCTGAATGTGCATCCAAAAACACAATTACATCTGCTGTTATATGCCGTGCACCTCTTTGGCGCGCCCGAATTAATCCTTCTCTTTTTCTAAATTAACAAGAAAAAAAAAAAAAAAATTGAAAAGCGAAGGAAAACTTGAGCACGCAGAATTGAGCTGGAAGAAAAACAATAAGTTGGTTGAGAAACAACTTCGTATGAAAGTGAAAATCCAAAAAATTTTTCGTTTCTGATCACGAGCATATTTATTATAGAATAGAAATACTGCTTTTACAGTGGACAATTTTTCAAGGTAAAGCATATCCAGAATGCCGTATATCTTTAACCAAAGAATTCAAAGAGTTTGTTGAATTAAATTACAAAAACTTACTCCGTACGAATAACTTTCACGATGTGATTAAGACCAGCCTTTTTCAGGAACTCTTCAAGTGGTTCTTTCAGGAATGCTTTTGTGCTTCCATCATCGACAAGAATAATTTCTCTCATGATATCTTTTGGAGAACGATTTATAACAGAATATACGCTTCTTAGCAGCGTAGAATTGTGCTGGAAGAAAAACAATAGGTTAGTTGAGACTTCGTATGAAAGTGAAAATTCAACAAATTTTTTGTTTTTGACTACGAACATACCTCATTATAGAAGGGAAACACTACTCCTACAGTAGGCAATTTTTCAAGGTAAACCATATTCTTGCATCCAGAATGCCGTATATCTTTAACTGAACGATTCAAAGCAATCAAATCACTTATGTAAGCATCATAACCGTTTATACGGTAGAGATCATCCTAAAAATTTGACGAGCCATAAAATGATGGAAAGAATAAAATGACTGATTGATCGATTAAATGATTTTCAAAATATTACAGTTTTCAAAGTTTCATAACATCTGAGCAATTTCTCAGGACAAAACACCTGTGGAGTATCCGAACTTACACCTCCAGCATAGTTCATTTCTCTTTCGTAATCAATTACGGGTATGAATTTCGGAAGCTAACCCGTAGTTTTTTAAATTCGCTAATTGCTACTACCACTGGTTTACCACCCTCGCCAAGCCCTTGTCTTAATGCATCACGTTTCATCGATTCATAATCATGCCAGTCCTTTCTGCCAAAATTTTTATATAAAGCAAATGGATCGGTGTCGTTATCCACTAAAATTCTACGACAAATAAGTGTTTTATTTTTTATGCATTGGAATTTGAAACAAAGTATCTTTACAGTGTGCATTTTTAGACAATCAGGAATAAGACAGCAAATAAAAATCTCCTTCTACAACACAATTTCATTTCAATGACTAAATTTTTCCAATAAATCCCCAAACCAAAAAAAGTATGTGCTAACCTATGTTTCCAATAAAAGCACCAGCCATCATGCCTTTGTGCCCCTTTGGATGCATTGTTGCTGGTTTTGGAGCAGAAAAAATTGCATAAAACCCAATAAAACAAAAGGCCAGGGCAAACGTCTGCAGAGTTCGTCTGCTGCATCTCTTAAAACAACGCGAAGACATTGTCCTTCTCACGATTACCTGAAGAAAAAATTTTAGCACTAATTTTATTAATTTACTGAAGTCGCAGCGTATATAAGAACATATAAAAAATCACACATGAAAGATGAGACTATTATGATAAGACTTCGATTTTCTGGAAAAAATTTCCAAATTAAAAGAACTGTAAGCAAGAGAATTTTATTCAAAAAAAGTAGTTATAACATACAGAAAGCAAAACGAAATGAAACGAACACTACTGTTTCAAAAACCAAACTTTTAAATAAAAATATATCATAGTGAAAACAAACAAATGAGGAAAGCATTCCCAACCAACTGCAGTGAACAGGGAATTTTGGGTCCAAAATAAAATGATCAATTCGTAACCATCTAAACACACGAAATTTTAACAAATGAATGGCACAATTAGACATTGCATCTTCTCCGAAACTCGGTGTAATCAAAATCAAAAAAAAAAAAAAAAAATAGCTGCATACCACCCGATGAAATTGAAGCGTTCCGACTTTAAGTGGATTGGTAGGATAGAAGCAGAAAAAAACTTACACAAGATACTAGGACCGTCCAAACATTGACGTACAGCATTACTTAGTGTTGGAGGTAATTGGACATCGTCGTTCTACCTTTCGGAAAAGGCTGATGACACCAGTCGTCAAATTTCTCTGTTCTATCCACCTGCTAGTTATATTAACAACCGTTTGAATTATCCTGATTTCAAAGCCAATGCTGCATTTTGTTGGCTTATTTAAAGCTTCTCATATATATATATATATATATATATATATATATATATATATATATATATATATATATATATATATATATATATATATATATACATTGCTGTGTTTCAAAACCTCCAAACGCTGCTATTCTTCCTAACGTGCAGTGAAGTCCGCTCTACGCTCTAAACCCCTAGTAATTCGTAGAAAGATCCAAGTTCATTTCCCGAAATTCAAATACGGCATATTTTTATCTCTCTCTTTAATATAGCAGTTTGAAATTCCATACTTCTACTTATTATAATAGAGTGAAGCCTAAGACCAAGACCAAGGAACTTAAGAAACACATCTCGTAATCGAACTCCAAAAACCACTAATTCGATTTCGAATTCTACAAAAAAGTGTATTACACCAGCTTTGAAAGTTTCCTTTTAAGATCTGCAATCCAACACTCTTATTATTGACAGGCACAACTTCCACAAAAATCGAGAGTGAAGAAGATCAAGCTTTACCATACGCTATTTCAGTGAGAGAATTTAAACTCCCGCCTTGGGATGCGAGGACAAACGAAGTCGAAAAATTCATATTCTGAATGAAACAGTTAACGTTCTTTCACTGTCCCATTCAGATATTTTCTATAACATGAAGTGAACAACTTATAGAAAATTAAATAATAAAAAAACAGAAAATTAAATTGAAATCTTTGTACTCTTATTAATTTCTATCGGTGCAGTTTTACACATGATTATCTGTAATTGACTAATTTGTTATAACATTTACTTATGTTGAAAGCATTAGTCTTTAATGTCCAGCAAACACAATACATGACTAAACACTTCCATCCCACATGTACATTATCACTCGGCTTCTCCATTAACCAATAAACATCGGTATACATTGGCTTCATTCTGCATTTCTTCCTTATTCCGAAATCTCTTTTTCCCGACTTTATCATGATCTGCTAATTCACGATAAATATTATCTGGATCGCTGCCAAAATCATTTTTTTTGCGAGGAAGTATGTGTACGTGTACATGCTATAAGAGAAGCTCGTTATTAGTTTCTCGCTTAATTGATCTAATTCATTGTTATATTTAATTAAAAAATAGTTCTACAATGAAATTTCCAACCGCGAGCTGTGAAATGTAGATTTACGCACAGTTTTCATTAAAAAATTATAAGAGATGAATGAGTCAGCAGTAATCAAAAAGTCTCATTTCTAACTTTGAGATTTTTGAATGGCATCCGAAAAAATAAGAACAGGTACACATACTTACCGAAACAGTCTGTCCTGCTTCAGGACCATCCTGAACGCAAACAGTCGAAGATGTTGCTTTATAGTAGTCTTCTAGCATTGTTTGTATTCTTTTTGCAGTTATGAATAAATCGGAAGTTTCAGTATGACTTAATTCAGTGAGCCGTTTCACACTCCTGACTGGACAGACTAGCACATCTGAAAGGAAGCAGCATTTCAAATGCAAACTGCTATTTTGTCAAAAAAAAAGTTTACATGAAAGAAATTTTTTTGATCATCTGGTTCAGCATCTCCGAATTTCTTTAAGGAAACTTGCTTCATAATAAAATGCATTATGCAGAGTAAATTATATGAAATATTTCCGATAAACTGATCATATCAGCTAAAAGTACTAACGTCCGGGGAGTACAGGACTCCGATTCACGAAGCAGAATGTGTAGGTACTCCGATAAAAAACGTGCTCGGGCGGAACACTGTGACTACCGAACATATACGCTTTATTTCCTGAAACATGAGAACTAAAAAGTTTCAAATTTAAGTACGAAAACTTAAATGTGCGGTTAAAAATCTAAAAAAGTCAATACTGACCGATTTCGTTTCTCTGTACCACTGTCAACGAATACAAATCAGAACGACGGTGTTCGAAAACAGGTTGCAGTTTTCGTACTTCATCGAGATAATTTAATGATATTTCAGCAAAGCATACGTCTTAAAAATCTTTAACACAGAATAGATAAATTTTAGAAATCCAAGTTGTTCTAAACCAAAAATTTAGAAATCCAAGTTCTTTCATTTCCTTGATTTTGTTAGAGATTTCCAATACCAGTCCCCAAAATAGAAAAAGCAATTGCAATGTAACAGAATTCAAGTTATACCTATAGTTTCTGAACACTGAGCAACAACTGCACCCCAAGGATCAACAACCATTGCATGACCATATGATGACCTTTTATCATTATGCTTGCCAGTTTGAGCTGCAGCAACAACATAACACTGCGTTTCGACAGCTCTTGTCCTTAGCAAGATCTAAAAAAAAATAGAACGTGATAAAATACAACGCTAAACTTAATGAAACATAAAACTTGAAATTTCCTAGAAACGTCACTGAATATTGCTGGGAATGATCGGCAATTCCTTCGAATTCAAAGATACAAAAACAAATTTTTTTTTGCTCAAAAATTACCAAACACCTACTTCCCAGTGTGCAAGACCAGTATCAACAGTGAAAGCCGATGGGTATGTCAAAACATGGGCTCCATTCATACGATACCATAATGCCAATTCAGCAAACCGCAAATCGTAACAAATGGACATGGCGACATTTCCCACAGGTGTACAAACTGGCTTCGAAATCTGAAATCTTGTCTTAAATAAAATTCATTTAAAAAGTCTATGAACAAAAGAAATGTAACAGCCGAACCTCAAGAAAATAAAACCAACTTCATCCCCACGACTTGAAAATTCGCTTTCTACTAGGCGCACTTTCCCAGGGATATCTAAATCGAAGAGATGAAGTTTCCTGTAGATACCACGAGTTTTTCCACTGTCATCCACGATAATATGAGTATTAAAAGGTTTCCGTAATCCAGCAGGATCCTAAGAAAGAACCACAAGTCAAATTATTTTTGATTATATACAAATTATTATTTTTGATTATATAAGATTTACGAAAAAAAAAGCACCAGTAAATCAGCATAGCATCATTCAACTTAAGACCTAAAATATTTTTTGAACCTTTTGGTGAAATCCACCCAAACTGAGCCAAAGTCCATATTCTTTGGCACAAGTTCGATACCGACTGATATAATCGTCGTTCTCACTCAAAGCCAGTGCTTCAGTCTCGTTACGACTTTCTCCGACATAATCGAAACACTCCGGGAAGAAAACCATCTAAATTTGGAAAATCTTTCAAGTTTTGAAAAATTGAAATTTTCCGAAAAAAATTTGGAAAATTTCAGAATAAATATCAATTTCCCAATAAATCAAGAAAAAAAAAAATAGCTTTTCAGAACTGCACAGGACTAAGGCATATCGATAACGCTCAAATATTTTACCCAGTAGGAAATAACTTACTTAAACCACCACTTTTTATGGACAGCTCTTCCACTGACTGTCTCACTCGTCATTTTAGTCATAAAATAATTTCCTAGTGTCTTTGGAATGAAACTAGACCTTATTGTCTTGCCAAAATTGCTCGTAAAAACAAGTAAACTGGACAAAATTTGAATATCTGCACTAGGGATAGGTAATGCCAATGAATGATAAAGCGTGAACCTTCGCCTTGCGCTCTTTAGCACGCTTCATCATGCATTTCGCAACTTCGAAATTAGCTTCCAAGTCATTCGTCGCCGTTAACTGACAAACAGCAATCAGTGAACGCGTTTCGTTCATTAGTGTCGAAAACTGACGACGGATAGCGATGCTTAGTAATGTACAGCCAGGCATTCGACTATGGCATGCATAAATTGCAATGAATAGTGGCTATCTATCGTGAACTCATGAATTATTCAACATGCATTTCCTGAAATTTATAAAACTTATATTTTATTTCTCACTTGATTTAAAATTTTTGAGGACTCAACTTGAAAAGTTGATATGTAAAAAGCATAAAAGATAGAAGTGGTAAGCAGCCGTCCAGCATGTCACCACTACATCTTTTCATCTGTTATCAGATCAGCGTTAATCCTCACCCAATTAGATACTAAAAAAAGGAAATTAATAACACACGCTGCCATATGATCGAACTTACGCATCAGTGCAATTCTGCGAAAGCTATGTAGAAAAAGCCATCGAAATTGTCATCGAAACATGACAAGGATGGAGTTAGTGATGCATGCTAAACATGTAAAAGAAGTGAAGTCGGTTACGAGGAGAGTGTTGATAAGGAGAGAGAGAGGAGAGGATTGGAAAGATGAACGAAAGAGTAGATGCGAGACGAAATGAAATGATGCTATTTAATTCACTCCAATATAGGGAGTGAAATAAACAAATTTTTGTTCTGTGTAAAGTAAGGATGACCGTGAGGGAGGAGGGGAAAAGCGGTATTGATACGTGGAGTGTAGGTGTGTTTGTTGAATGGCAGGGTACACTTTCAAAGCTGCGCTAATGTCGTTCTTCTGAAACGTCAAGCAGTAACAGGTTGACGGAAGGCCAGCTGGATTGTTCCGATGCTTTAAATTCCACAGATTCCAGAGTGGTGAAACAAATTTCGAAAATGATGTCTATTCTGAAGTTGAGTTGGTTAAGATTCAAGAAACATAGTGTCTACGTTTGATTATCTTCCAAATAATTTAATGGAAGAGTTACATATCCTTGTTATTATTTATGTATGGGTATTTAGGGAAGCCCCGACAAAACAGTAATCAAATAAAACACGGAATGATTCGGGAATTTGTTATATTAGTATTCTTCGTGGTCGGAACTAAAGGTACGTTTTGTATGATAATTGAAACGATAAGCAAAATAGTTATTTTAATTTCATACTACATCATGATACACAAACCATTATATAACATTGCAGGATATGTTCGAAGAGTTGTTTCTGTTTTTATATAGCAATTAGTCCAAAGCCTCTAGTTTGATTAATACAGTAGATTTTATATGTTGAT